CAACACGGGTGCATTCACATACATGCAGGCAATACACTCATACACATAAAATAAAAATAATAAATAAAATATAAAAAAAATAAAAATAAATCTCTTCATATATGTCAGAATGTGTGAAATCTGGTGGGTGGGCTGTGGGGGGTGCACATAAGGGAGGGGTTCTAAATATGATTAAGATGTATGAAATGTACAAAAATTTAATAAAAAATATATATTGAAAAAAAGAGGAAAGGGGCTGGAGAGATTGCTCAGTGATTAAGAGTACCTACTGTTCTTACAGATGACCTGAGTTCAGTTCCCAGCACCCACATGGCAGCTAACAACGGTTCATAACTCCAGTTCCAGGAGATCTGATGCCCTCTTCTGGCCTCTGTGACATGCAGCCAAAACAGTCAGACACATTAAGTAATTAAATAGATAAATAAAATTGCATGGTGGTACACACCTTTAATCCCAGCACTCAGGAGGCAGAGGCAGGCGGATCTCTGTGAGTTCAAGGCCAGCCTGGTTTACATAGTGAGTTCCAGGCCAGCTGGGGCTACAGGGAGACCCTCTCTCAAAAAGACCAAAAAAGTATAAATAAAATGAACTTTAATGGATGCTTTCTAAAGAGGACATAGGCAGAGTCCCTGAACTTTGAGAATGCATCTGTAATCACATGTGACAATTCTACTTCTGGCCACCAGAGGACACCATTGTCCAGGGCATTGAACTGCAGGGCTACTCCCACGCTGTCTCCTCTGCTGGGCCAGGGAAGAGGGCTTGCTCCAAGGGGCACCTCAAGCTTACTGCTCAGGGTTCAGGGGCAAGAGAAGCTGAAAGTGTCAGAGAGGGTCATGAGGAGGGATGTTGTCATGCCTCATGGTTGGTTCCCAGAAGTTAAAACTTTGAAAATTTCATATATAATATTCTTTATTCAGGGGATAGTGTGAACACAGCCCCCTACTATTATAAATTATGAAGTGGAGTTTTCCACATTTGGGGAAGTCACAGGGGTCAGCATATCCAAAGTGAAGTGGATCAGCCTCGCCCTAGGAAAACCTCCCTCAAGAACATGCAATTTCCCTTGCCAGGGAAATTTCTATGATGAAAAATGCAAGATAGCTATGCCTCATGGTACAGGCCAACTACCCAACTACTCAAAAGGTAAAGGCAGGACAATTCCCAAGTTTAAGAGATACTTTGGGTAAAAAGTAAGATCAAGGCCACCCTGAGCAAATTAGTAGGACCCTAACTCATAAGCAAAAACAGGACTAGGAGCATGGCTCAGTGGTAGAACACTTGCCTAGCATCCCCCAGTGAGGGACTGGGGCGTGGCTCAGTGGTAGAGCATTTGCTTATCTCACATGCCAGAGGCCCTGTGTTCCGTCCCTAGTACTGCCAAGCAAGCAAGCAAGCAAACACATGCACTACTAATCATTCAGGCAAGATGCGCCCAGTGGTGCAATAGTGGCAAGTCTGTTTTAGGAGTAACCAGTACTTTCTTATTGGAATAGAGGCCCATTCCACAGAGGGAAATTCCCATCTAGTACCATAAACCTGGTCAAAAGCTCATGTCTGGGGAGGTCATAGGCCCTAGTGGGGAACCTATAACTGTTGTTTTGCTAAATGTACATGACATGTCCATCAAATTGTTTTCTGGATAATTACATTTATCCTCGTAGATCATGCTGCTGTCAGCTTTGGTCAGACATTGTGCTGTGGGCAGCAGAAACTGCAGACTCATAACAGGTCAAAGTGCTGAGACTATGTAACTCTTTTTTTTAAAAATTATTTTTATTTTATGTGTATGCATGTATAGCCTGCATGTATGTAAGAGCACTTGTGTCGTGCAATGCCCACAGAGGACAGAAGAGGCCATCAGATCCCCTGGAACTGGAGTTATAGAAAGTTGTTAGCTGCCATATGGGTGTTGGGATTCGAACCTAGGTCTTCTGCAAGAACAGTGTTCTTAATCACTGAGCCATCTCTCTAGCCCCAGACTATCTAACTCTTGAGTGCTCAGCTCTAAATGAGACATCTATGTCACCCCATCTAAGGTTCAGAGAACATCCCAGAAGAGGAGTCAGAAAGAATGTAAGAGCTGAAGGAAGTGGGGTGGGAGAGTGTGGAACACTGACTTCCTAGGGTGATGTGGCTATGGACTGTTGAACATGTAGCAGCTGTGGTTACCTGCACAGGATCTGCACTAGACGGAGCTCATACAGTCTTGTCCATTCCTGTGGACCTGTGGACTGTTATCGGGGAGGGCAATATCTTCTTCAATGGTGTAGTGACTGGTAAGGTGCCCATGCATCTGTAGGTAGCCCTCATGGAAATAGAAGAGGCTAGTTGGAAAAAGGAAGGGGTCAGCAGGAGTGGGAGGGGCTGGGGGTGATGGGATGACTGTGGTCAAAATACATTATACACATGAGTGAGAATGTCATGACCAAACCATGATTTATGTACAGTTAATATATGCTAATAAAAACATTCTTTTTGTCTTTTTGAGACAGGGTCTCCCTGTGGCCCCAGCTGGCCTGGAACTCACTATGAAGAACAGGCTGGCCTTGAACTCACAGAGATCTGCCTGTCTCTGCCTCCTGAGTGCTGAGATTAAAGGCGTGCACTGCCACGCCCGGCTTATAATCTTTTAAAAGTATTTCACTTATTGGGGCTGGAGAGATGGCTCAGAGGTTAAGAGCATTGGCTGCTCTTGCAGAAGAACTAGGTTCAAGTCCCAGTACCCACATGGTGGCTAACCACCATCTTAACTCCAGTTCTAGGGGATCTCTCATTTCTCCTTTTTCACTCCAGAAAAATCATAGGGATTTTAGGAGTTCAGCACCAGGCACCAGGGAAGAAGAACAAATGTCTATTTCTTACTGTGATATGAATACGAGAGGATTAGAAGTTCCAGGTCATCTTCCAGTACATACTGAATCTGAGGGCAACTTGGGTTACATGAGACCCTGGTTCAAAGAATAATATAAGGGATTGGAGAGGTTAAGAGCATTGGCTACTTTTGCAGAGGAGCCAAGTTTGGTTCCCAGCACCCACATGGTGGCTAACAACTGCTGTAACTCCAGTTTCAGGGGATATGATACCCTCTTCTGACCACTTACATACATGCAGGCAAAATAGTCATACATAAAATAAAAATTAAAAAGAATTTTTTTTTTTTAAGACAGAGTCTCCCTGTAGCCCCAGCTGGCATGGAACGCAATATGTAGACCAGGCTGGCCTTGAACTCACAGAGCTCCTGCCTCCCCAGTGCTGGGGTTAAAGTCATGTACCACCACACCTGGCTTGTAAAAAATTTTCAAAAAGTAAAATATACCTTATGCTCTTTTTTTTTGCCACTACTTGGAATTGAACCTAGGACCACACCCATACTGGTCAAATGCTACAATTGAGCTACATCGCCCAGCAGTTAAGTTACACTGTTTTTCTAGGAATGCTTCAGTATCTAGTGGGGATGTCCAACCTTTTGGCATTGTGATAAGAAGTTGCCATCTACAAATGTGTTGGGCTTCATTCATAGCTATTTTGAGATATTTGCCATGGCCCACAAGGGGAGGTCAGAGGACAACTTGGGGGAGTCAGTTTTCTCCTTCCACCATGTGGGTCCCAGGGATTAAACCCAGGCCATCAGGCTTGGCTGTAAGCGCCTTTACAGACTGAGCCATCTCACCAGCCCTGACACAGGTTCCACCCCTGCCTCTCCTGGAAACTGGGGGGAGGGGCTATAATGATCCTAAGGTCCCTCTCTTTTGTGGCACTTGCTCCTGGATGGCTGAGAGAAAATGAGATGGATGCATCAGAAGAATGAAGTATAATGTCTCCTAGACAGCAAGGGCTCATAAACCCTGCCTTATTATCCTGCCCACTTTGCAGTTTACAAAAATAGAGGCTCAAAACCTCAAGCCAGAAGAGGGCATTGCTCTGGAACTGTAGTAACAAATGGTAATTAGCCACCATATAGGTGCTGGGAATCAAACCCAGGTCCTTAACCAGCCAGTGCTCTAAACTACTGAGCCATCTTTCCAGCCCACCTATCAGTTATAGTTTTCCCCTACTCTGTTCCTTAAGGGGGATTCATTGAGACATTTAGTCAAGCCAAACATGATGGTGCATGCTTATTATTCCAGCAGAGGAAAGAGAATAGAAACTTTGAGGTTAGTCTGAGCTATGCAGTAAGTTCAAAGTCAGCTTAGACTCATACCAAGTCCCTGTATCAACAAATGAGAGAGGGCTGGTGAGATAATCCAGTGGGTAAAGGACTTGCCACACAAACCTAAGGACCTGAGTTTGATCCCTAGAACCCATGTAAAGGTGGAAAGAGAGAACTGACTTAACATAATTGTCTTCTGACTTCTAGACTTGCACCCTTTCTCTCTCTCTCTCTCTCTCTCTCTCTCTCTCTCATAATTAATAAAAGTATTTTTAAATAGTGAGAGGGAAAGCCAGCCGTGGTTGTGTACATCTTTAGTCTCAGCACTGGGGAGGCAGAGATAGGTGGATCTCTGAGATTGAGGCCGCCTGCTCTATATAAGTAATTCCAGGCCAGCTGGAGATGAGAGAGAGAGAGAGAGAGAGAGAGAGAGAGAGAGAGAGAGAGGACGAGGAGGAGAGGGAGGAGAAAGGGGGAAAGAGGAATTATATATGTATTATATATGTGCCTGGAATGGTAGATCAAGGTTGTGATTTGGGAGGCTGAGCCAGGAAAAATTCCAATTCTGGACCATCCTGAGCTACAACAGGGATACTCTGTTTTAGAAAAAGAAGGAGGGGCTGAGGCTATATCTCAGTACAATGTTTGCCTGGCATGCTTGAAGGTCTGGATTCTAGCCATAGCACTGGCTAAATTAGATGATGTTGGTGCACACCTGTGATCCCAGTACTTTGGAGTTCAAGATAATCCTCACCTACAGAGGGAGTTAGAGTCTAGCCTTAGCTACATGTGACCCTGTGTCACAAACAAAACATAAACAAGGCCAGCTGAGATGATTCAGAGGGTAAAGGGGCTTGCCATCAAGACTGATGACCTGAGTTCTGTCCCTAGGACCCACATGGTGGAAGGAGAGAGCTGACTCCTGTTAGTTCTCCTCTGACTTCCACCCATGCACACAGATATACATACACACAAATGTAATAAATTAAAACAAAAACAAAAGCAAAACAAAATAGCATTCAGTGAAAATTAAACCCCTAAAGGCTAGAGAAAATGCCGAGCAGTTAAGAGTGTATACTGCTCTTACAGAGGACTTAGGTTCAACTCCCAGAGCCCACATTGGACTCCTCACAACTGCCTGTAACTCCAACTCAACAGTATTCAACACCTTCTTCTGGTCTCCTTGAACACCTGCATTCATGTGGCATGTACACACCTATGCACACACGTATAAATAAAAATATAATAAATTAAAAAGATTAATCAAATTAGGAGATCCTAGCAGACAGCCTGAAAGGGTGGGCTCCAACCTCCATCAGTGTAGCAGCTGTGATCTCAGCAGACCCCCAGAAAGCACCAGTTTCTGGCCTCCCTCTAGCATAGAGGTGGGGAATGTAGGGGGCTGCCTGAGAGCTCCCAGATCCTGCCTCCATGTGGTGGTGAGCTTCCCCTAATTGCACCATACCCATCCTCCTACCTGGGATTTCATGAGGCTCCTCCCAAGGCCCCAAGGCAGATCTGGCTTTGGTAGGCTAAGGCTGAGATCCCAGCAGACAGCCTGAGAGGGAATGTTTCAACCCCCATCTGTGTAGTGGCTCTGATCTCAGTAGACCACCAGAGAGTGCTGAATTCTGGCCTCCCTCATGTACTGAAGGAAGCTTGAGTGTACCTGACTGGAGCCTGAATTGGGCTTCTGTGGGTACCCATGAATAGCTGATCTGAAGCCATAAGTTCCCTCCAAATTAAACCTGAGAGAACCTGAACCCTGTACCAACCAGCTTTACATTACCAATAAAGAAAGGATCTAGGCACCCAGATAATACAAACAGAAGCATACTTCAATGTAATTCTCATATCAGAATCATAAACAACAAAAGAAATCCACATGCCAAGATCACAATGAAAGAATAATAAAATGGAAAGCCAAA